AACTTCACATGTCAGCAGTACCCGGGGAACACAAAAGCTAATGTCTGGGTAACTCTTGAAGAAACAGTTTTTGTGTGAAAACTCGAACTTTGGGGTCTCCGATCACTGTCATACGCAAGTTTTATGTTTTGCTTGAAATACCAAAAAATCCAAGTACATATGTTTCTGTTCTGTTTGGGCTTGCAACACCATGCTATCACGGATGTAACGTAGTCAGAAAAAGAAATAAGCTTTCGTTATTCAAAAAAAAAAAATATTTTTTTTACTGACCACTTCTAAAGTATTAATGTGTACGATTTTTTCCGAATAACGAGGCATGTGAGCGCGAAAAATAGTTTAGTCCGAACATGTTACCGCTGCTAAGCCTCAGTGAAGCACTCACCAACCGGAGCCTCAAATCTGAATTCGATTTTCGTTTCGCTCTATTCCCTGAGCTCTAACCACAGAAATTCGCTCACTTTGAGCCCGCAGCAATTTGCGGCAAAAACACATAACCTTCGTCATCATATCTGCCGCAGTTTTTTAGAAGACAGCTTTTGTATCAACTAGTTATTAACTTACTGGAATCGATCATAATGCAAATCGATAATCACCGAGCGTACTGCATTCTTCAGTTGTTCCAAATTACCAAATTTCGGCAGCGTGAGTATTCGAACGAGGTCTTCCAGATCGATATCAGTCCACACCTGCAAGCAAATCAGTCATCTGCATCATTCCAGCTGTGAAACATTTCAGGCTTCAGCTGTATTCTCCTTATTCCACTCATTAATAGCGCCGTTTCCACTTGCTCCGATTGCTTTTAATTTTCAGCAGATCAGTTCCAGGATTCTTCCATCTTATCAAACATCCTACATCACATCACCACTGGGAGCGTAAATTCTAAACACGCAATTACACCCCTCCGTCCACCTCATTCTTTCTTTTTTTGTTTGCGTTATGAGATCACTTTTTGGCTCATTCAGTTCACCGCTGTTTTCATGCACTGATTGGTAACAAGCCAAGTCTCGAGATCTCAGCAGCAGCCAAACCGTAGC